CGATACAAGTAGTTCTTGGTTAACGACGGTAATTGGGACGACGGTGCTGCATTGGACCCACAATACATTCACTTTGCTCAGGCTGCCAGGGGGGTTGCGGTCCCGGGTCTCCCACCGCCAGCTTGTCCCCGTTTCAGCAGTTGCTTGCCCTGAAGCCAGCCTCTGTAGGGGGAGGAAGCCGCAGCAGCCACCACTCCCTCCAGGGCTGTCCAAGGTGCTTCACTCTCCAAGCGGCTAGACCTCATGATCTGAGACACTCAGGAAGGGAGAGAAGCTGCCCGGGTACCCCAGCTTCCCACACAGCTTCTCAGAGGCTGGCACTTGCTCCCCAGGACCACCTGCAGGGTTGCCAACAGCTCTCTGGGGACCATCAGGGCAGACAACAGGGCACCCAAGGATGGAAAGGGGGGCCTAATTAGGGGCTTCCTAGTTTTAACTGTCTGACAGCTGAGACGCACCGTTCAAAAGTTGAAAAAGAAACGGGTGTGTGCGCCTACATTTTTGGATTTCATGTTAGAATTATGTTAAGAACTCCTCAACCAAGCTGGCAGAGTCAGGCTTCACTGTTGCCAGCTCATCCGTGATGTCTCTTCCACATGTTGAGCTTGGCTGTATGATCTACCTCCTGATGGGGGCGGGAGGAGGTCTGGGTGCAAAAGAGGAAAAGCAGGCAGATCCCAGCGGGGAAAGGACAGGACCCGCCAGCAAGTCCGGGTGGTGCAACAGCGCACTCCCGCTCGCTGAGTGGCAACGGTGCCAGCGTCGCCATCCCCTTTTGAGTCTGGCTGCCTGAATGTGGCCCAGCAGGAGCAGCAGCAAGAGGAGGAACGCTCCCCCCACCCCATGCCTTGGGAGAGAGGAGCAGCAGAGGCTGGACTACCCTTCCCCAGAAGCCAGACTGCCTGACCGGAAGGGCCTCTCCCCGAGCACCAAAACGCTTCTGACCACCACCTTCTGCTCTCTGGGGAAAGTCTCCTAAATCTGCTCAAATCGTGGTGAGCAAAGGGGGAGAGGTGCACCCACCACCCCCTGGTAGCAAGTTCATGCCAGGTAGAGACAGAACAACTCCAACTCCCCCCAGCCTGGAATGAAAACCGGATATTTCGAGCTTTGCGTCTGTCCTCGAGCAGAACATTCCTGCTCCGCCGTCTGGCCCGGCGGATGCGCAGAGCACGCCAGGTATGCGCGGCCCTGAGCCTTCGCTGGAGGCCTCGGAGCCCCAATTGGGTTTGGCTTTTTCTGGGGGGGAAGAAGAAGAAAGGGAAAAGCTCCTCTTGGCCCGGGCAGACGGTGAATTTCCCAGTCCAGACTGGCACCAAGCAAATCACCTCCTCGAGTGGCCGGATGCAGCCAACTTAAAATGATTCAGTCCAGCTCCACGCGACCATCGCAAAGGGAAGGTTGTCAAGTGGGACACCAAACAAAAGTCAACACAAGCCCCGCTTGCAGCATCAGAGAACAACCCCCAAACTGCAATTTCTTTGACGCCCAAGGGTGAATCCAGGGTTAGCAGCTGGGCTGAGACCAGGCACTTTTCATCCACTGCTCAGTCGGCCTTGGATCACTGATCACACAAAGACCAACTGAGCTGCCACTGCTGGTGGGCAGGGCTGGCGAGGGAAAGCGAAACCGGTGTGGCCCCCGGGAAATGCGAGTTTGCGTAAGACGGCAACCTCTTACTCCAGAGCAAGCCCACAACTGGCAACCCGCAGAACATGAGCCAGGGTTGTGATGCTGCGGCAAAAAGGCGCCTGTCATTCTAGGATGTATTAGCCCACCACCCCTGATTCAGGAGACCACAACGCTGACCAGAAAAACATGTTAATTACTTGGAGAGGGTTTCGAAGAGAGCTGAGAGGATGGTGAAACTGCTCGATACAAGTAGTTCTTGGTTAACGACGGTAATTGGGACAGAATTTTCATCGCTAAGCCATGTGGTCATAAAGGGCGATATCATGTGACCGCATCGCTTAGCGACAGAAAACCCAGCAGTCCCCATTGCCATCATTAACTGAGGACCCACCCCAATCCAAGCCATTCTTGGCTTGGTCACTCCCAGCCCCAAGCCTTGGTTCTTCCAAAGCAAGGGACTGCCTCCTCTTGAACTCCCCCTCACCCATCTGCCCCCCCATCTCTGCCCTTTTGGCCACTGTGCACAGTGGCACTCCTTGACAACGGTGGCAGTGCCAGCGCTGGGGCTGAAGGAGAGGCTCGAGGCCTTCAGTAGTTTCAGCCGGTCGCTGCCACCTCCAAGCCTCTACTTCAGCCCCAGCACTGCCACTGCTGCCATTGTCAAGGAGTGCCACCGTGCAGAGCAGCCAAAAGGGCAGAGATGGGGGGCAGATGGGTGAGGGGAGTTGAAGCACTCCTGTAGTCGTAAGTGTGGGTGGGCTGCCAAGCGCCCAAATTTTGATCATGTGACCATGGTGGCGCTGCAACATCCATAACTTCAGGGACCGGGCATAAGTACGATTCATTCCGTGAAGCCTTAACTTCAAACATCACTGAACGAATGGTTGTAATGTGAGGACTACCTGCACTGGCATTCTGTGGATCATCTTACTGCTTTCTGTGTGTGTCCCAACCAGTCTGTCACATGCCACAGATCAGCACCATCTCAGCAGGACACACCGATAAGAGTCTCATGAGCTTTTGCCTTTTAATGAGATGTTGGCTGCAGAAGATGCTACCAGACAGCCTCAGATTTTTGGCTTTCACAGACTAAGGCGTCTCCCAACTCAGCTTGAGATGATCCCACATTCTAGGGCGAAAAGGCTTCCTCCACTTCCTGCGATGCTCAGCATAAGAGCAAGAGAACACCACTCGTCCCAGAGCCCCCAGGTTTATTTGGGGGTGGAGGGGCAGAGCGCAGCCCCATCTTTGTCCATGCCGGCCTTGTGCCTCAGCCAAACATGTAGCCAAACCGCCTCTCCCACCAGCAACCCTGCGCGCGAGCTGCGAGCTGGGCAACAGACTGGCCGAGGCAATGAGACGAGGGACGGTTCTTCCAAACACCCTCGGAGAAGGGAGGGCCTCGGCTCTGCATAAATCCCACCGCCATGGGTTCGAATCTGAGGAGAGTGCTTCGACCCGTCTCTCCGGGCACAGCGCCCTCCCCAGTCCAGGCGAGTTCTGAGCCGTGTTCACCCAGCAGCAGAACCTCCCTTCCCTTCCCTTCCCTTCCCTTCCCTTCCCTTCCCTTCCCTTCCCTTCCCTTC